GAGGAATGGGTAGTTTAGGTTCCTCTAGGTCAGTGGTCTCCAACCTTGGCAACTTTAAGACTTGTGGACTTCAATTCCTAGAGTTCCTCAGCCAGCTTTGCTGGCTGAGGAACTCTGGGAATTGAAGTCCACAAGTCTTAAAGTTGCCAAGGTTGGAGACCACTGACCTAGAGGAACCTAAACTACCCATTCCTCCTGCAAGGGATAAACCAGTTTAAAGGCATCCTTGGTTGGTGGTGGGGTATTATTTTGAAATCTTTGGGGAAAATATAAACTAACTTAAAATGTATAATTTTTCTAAGCAAAAAAAAGGAAAAAATAATAAACCATTTTCAAATCCAGCATCATATCCAGGTGATTGCATGGACATTACATTAATATGGGAACTACCTGGAATTATGAAGATGGAAGGGCTTTGGTTGTTTACAGAATATGGGTAGCCCTTGGCTTCCAAAATTCTTTTTTTTAAAAAAAGGCAACGACTGTGTTTTCCTTGAAGAACAACAAAACTTCTTGGATGAGAAGCAAAATGAAGTTGTTTGAAAGGAAGGAAACATTTTGTTCTTTCTCAAGGAAAAAAACAGTCTAGTGGCCTTTTTTTAAGAGCACATGGACTTCTATACCACTTCATAGTGTTTTACAGCCCCCTCTAAGCAGTTTGCAGAGTCAGCAACTTGCCCCCAACCATCTGGGTCACTTCACCAACCTCAGAAGGATGGAAGGCTGAGACAACTTGGAGCTTGTGAGGATCAAACTCCTGGGAGTGAGCAGTGTGTTTGCCTGCAATAGTGCATTCTAACCACTGGGATACCAACAGCTCCTTTAAAAAGCACTTTTGAGGCAACTCTGATCTGAGGTATCTGACAGAATCTCCACAGACAGCTTTTCCTTGGCTTGCATCCATTCATTCAGCAACTGTTCAAAGTTAGGGTGGCATTGGGGAAAAATGGAGCGTGGAACCAGTCCTCAGCCACTGCAGTACCCCCATAGTCATGTGATTGCAATCTGGGGATTTGTGTGCCCCACTTGTGATTATAATGTCACAGGGAGCTGTGGTCAAGTGATTGCCATTTGTAACCTTTCCTGCTGGCTTCCCACAAGGAAACTGGGAAAGTTGGGAGGGAAGGACTGTCTAGACATTCCACCTCTTAGCCTGGGGGTGTGTGTGTGTGAAATTATACCCCCCCCCCAGGGCCCGCAATTTGGGTGTCCTGGACCCGCAGCTGACGTTAGAACCCCATCTTTCAGCTGTGACCAGGGGTGCTTTTGCCCAGGTTTGCCTAATGCACCAGTTGCGGCCCTATCTGGACCGGGAGGCACTTCGAATGGTCACTCATGCCCTCGTCACCTCAAGACTGGATTACTGTTAACACGCTGTACATGGGGCTGCCCCTGAAGAGTGTTTGAAGATTGCAGTTGGTCCAGAATGCAGCCGCGCGAGCGATATTGGGGTTCTAACGTCAGCTGCGGGTCCAGGACACCCAAATTGCGGGCCCTGGGGGGGGGGGGTAAGTTTTAACAAACCACCCC